CCCCAGACCCTCCCCGTACCTTCAACTGCAACTGCAACCTTCAACTGCAAACGTTGACCCGACTTGTAGCGATTGGAGGGTAACAAGCCTGCCAAGCACTACACATTCAAGTCAATGAGGAAGCGCTACAATTGACCCACAGCTGTGGCAAAAATGGGGTTAAGCAGGCAGGAGGCATCATATCACTTCCTCACCACCTGTCAGTAGCCTCTGGAGCTCAATCTGAACACGTCTAAATCTACCCTTAGGGATATTTTCTATAACAACCATCCCATGCACTTCAGCATCCAAAACACATTACAATGCACTCTTTTAAAAAAAAGTGCTCCTTTTTTCATTACATACCGGTAAGTAATATGTGACCTGTCCACAAAAACACCAAGTAGGCAATCTTACCTCCATCTTTCTAAATAGCAGGACATAACCTGTGTGTTCCCAACGATGAAGAATCGAGCATGCTGAACCGTTCAAACAATGTACGTGCATCATGCTACAGAAGGAGAGATTGTACACTGTGCATGTGCGGGCTTAGATTGGGTCGATACATTTGATCCTTTGGAGTTGGGGGCATGCTTTTAATATCTGCCTACATGGCATGATGGAGGGGGGGTCGTCTGCTGTGAGTTTTTTCTGACAAGCAATGTTGGCCTACAGGTTTGGAATGACAAAAGAACAGTTTTTTAAAAAAACAGTGAAAAAAACTGGAAACTGTGCTTGGCTGCAGCGCGTAGGGGGGTTTGTGGAAAATGTCCTGAATGGTGAACTAACCCTTTAATTCCACCCTGTCATAGTTATACAGTTTGAAAAAAAAGACATATGTCAATCTAGTTGAACCATCAGAACAAAAAATTGAAAACCTCTATAAACAGAAGCATATAGCTACAATTGATCCAAAGGAAGGTAAACAAAATCCTTAAAGTATGTTACAATTAGGAGAAAAAAAATCCTCCCCTGTCCCTTACGTCAATCAAATATTCAATGTGCCAAAACAAGAAAAAAAAAAGATTAAAACCCCTTTTACCTGTAAAAGAAGACAGTAAATATACTGATCACTCTAATCACTAAAACTGTCCACTGACGTCCACTCGGAGACCAACATTTCCAGGAGTAGCTGTCTTCTGGATCCTCCCGCAGTTCTCAGGGTTCTCCAAACTATGGCCCGCGGGCCAAATGCAGCCTGAAAACATATGTGCAGTTATTACTTTTTTTTGTAAAAAATGGTCTTTTAAGACAAAAAACCCCAATGATAAGAAAAAAGAAAGGAGCAAAGAGTTGACTGCCAAAAGAGCTAGCAATCACAATTAAAGTACAGTTCCTAACTGACCCTAATGTCTCCCTATGAAGTTTGTCAGTGTTCCCTATTCTTTTCCCTACAGCAACTTTCAATGCACTATGGCTGCTCTGTGTCCCCCCCCCCCCTTCTTATAGGGTGTCATGGGTTCACCCCACACGCCACACCCACAGCGACTAGTTAACCGAGGTGCGCACGTGCGGCCGTGACTTGGGGTAAGAGGGAATAAAGGGGACTTAACTTTGCATATATAAATCCGTATATAAGACCAGCCGTGATATACTTTCACAGCCTGCACTACCTCTTGGACACCACTGGGGGGAGACTCCACTCCAATCCAGATGGCTGACCACACACTGGCAGATACAAATCTTATATACAATCTGGTGCACTGATTAGAGTTGAGGAGCAGCTTAGCAATCACACACCCTTCTAGAGTCCCTCCAGCTATCCTACAAGCCAGAACCCCGGTGTTAATCACTCTTCCACTGTCAACACACCCCCACACCACAAACGGTAGCTGGCCACCACCCAACAGTTTATCCGCAGAACGGTTTGTTGGGATACCACACACACAGATCTCTGTCTGGCAGATCTGCTACCTTTACAATCTGCACGCAATCTGCCCACACGCAGTGTAATTGCATACAGATTGGCAATGAGCTTGACCAAGCAAGTAAAGGCACTAACATATAATACAATCTAATCTCTCCGGAGATATGAGCCCGTGCTTAAATACACAGAAGTCACTTATTAATTTAAAGATTTAATATCCCGAAAGTGGGCAGTGCATAAAATATGTACAAAGTATAAAAAGTTATAAAAAATACAAAAAATACAAGAAGACACACATAGACTATTCAATATAAAATAAAAGGGAATAAAAGACAGAAATAAAACATTTACCAAACTTTATCCTGCAACTGGAGCAAGTCAGAGAGTCAGCAATCTGTCAGTCAGAACCGGCTCCATACGAATTACAATGTGCCAATGTCAGAGTCCTCAATTTATGGGGATATGGACATAGGCGGGACATTAGTTCTTGGCCAATTGACCCTGGGGGGTGTTCCTGTACCCGCCCACAGGATGTTCTGGGTGCTGACCTGCCCAAAGTCAATTGGACCAAGACTGGCTTGAATCACCAAGTCGGGGATTGAATTTCCAACACCAGCGCATCAGTCCGATCGCGACAGTACCAAACACTGTTCCGCTATCGCACTCCAGCACCATATAACCATTTCCTGAATTTTTCTGGCATTTTGCATAGGCCACAAATATAGTTTTTATATGCTGATGTAGCCTACAGAGTGCCCCATCAGAAGGAAGTATTTTCATCTCTCTGCAACTAATATTTTAGCTTGTATGAGGGATAAAACATACTCCTTTGATGTATGGATATACTTTTAGAGCTCCGTAGACAGCTTGGGGCCCCCCTGGTGTCATGAAGAAGAAATGTCTGTGTTTCTCTTTTAAGCTTCAGGAAGATGGCAGAGTCTGATTACATATAGGTGACAAAATCTTATTAGCACCCAGGTGCCACTTCCAGAGGAAGCTAGTCCCTTCAGATGCTAATTGATGACCATCTGTCTCTGAATACCTTATTTCTTTAATGACAAGGACTGAAACTACATGTAGGATTACATACTGCTACAGGTCACCTCTCAGCTACTCAAATCTATGTCACATAGGGCATAACAATAATTCATGGGGCCCCATAGCAATATTTTATTAGCACTCAATGCACCCCCCCACCTCAAGCAACCTCACTATTAGTCCTTATGTACATAGATATTTAGAGGCTCAAAAGTATAAAGTTCCTGGTGCTTTCCTTCCCCAGGGAAGTAAGTTGCACATATAGCCTGCCATATGACAGCAATTGTAGACAATTATGCTCGCGTGTTTACCCATGTGTGCAGTGTATTTCCAAGAACACAACACTCGTGCATTCAGGAAAACACACTGTATACACATGCTTTGGTGAACACCAATGCACAGGAGTATTCGCATAAGTATAGTCGTACACAGCCATTCTCTCATATGGCGGGCTGTACCATCTGCCATCTGCGGCTACAAAGGGGCGGAAGAGCGCCAGGATTTCTAGGCTTAAGTACTCTTTTAGGCCGAACAGATAAGCTTCATTGAAGCTTCCTGTCAGAATATCTGCTTGGCAATTCTTCCCTGTACCTGGTCCACTGATCGCTGGTGCAATGCTTTCCAGGCTCCTTTAGACAAGAATAATGAATGCACATTTTTTTTACCTGCAAAAAAATTTAGTTATTATGTTTGCCCCCAGAGACACTGACCAACACCCCCCCCCCCTTCCCCCTCCCACGGAGAGAACCAGACATTGACTAACCCCCCCCCCCCCATATATAGATAGAAGAAAGACACTCATCTTCACAACTCCGGACATCCCCGGGAATGAGAGTCAGGCTCTACATACACCATCAAGCAGACTGCAGCTTCTCTCAGATCCCACCTGGTTACCATAGCACGCGTTTCCTTCTGGGAAGAGGGCTGCCACCCTGAAAAATGCCACCCTAGGCAAGTGCCTTGTTTGCCTTGTGGTAAATACATCCCTGCCTGCACCCACTGTCACAATTTAAAAAGAGCGCGTCCATGTGGGGCTCCGCTGTGTCATTCATTCACAGCGATCTGTGAATGAATGAGCTACGACTACCATCTGCCACCACGGCAGACAGGTTGTAGTTCTCAATGAGCTGTGAGAGCGCTGGTGAGCGCTCTCATAGTTCATTGATCTTCCTGCTCTCCAGTAACTTTCTGCCTGTACGGCAGCTACGGGCAGATACCTATACTGAGAGTCAGTAGGAGCCTGACATTGGACCCGCGATCTGCTGATCATGGGTTCAATAGTCTGCAGGATCCATAAAAAAATAATAATAATAAATGTACATTTTTTTACCTGCAAAAATATGTGCAATTATTTTTTTTTTTTTTTGCAAAGGTGAACTTAGCCTTTAAAAGTCAGTTTTGGTCATTTTCAAGGCTTATCGATAAGAGACTGTGAAAAAAAAAAAATCATGGGCAGAACATGGAGTTGGACATGTACCAATGCAAAAAAAAAAAAAAACATTCAGCAGTGAGCAGCATTTATTATACTGCTTAAAACAGGATACTAAAACTGTAAAATTCCTCTAGATACCAGTTTTACAGTATAAATAACCACTTCATGTTCAGACACTTTAACCCCCTTCCAGTCCAGGCCAATTTTTAGCTTTCAGCACTGTCACATTTGAGTGACAATTACTCAGTCCCAAATTAAATTTTTATCATTTTTTTAGACGCAGAGCTTTTTTTGGTGGTATTTATTCACCAATGGATTGTTTTATTGCTATATAAATGAAAAACACCAACAATTGTGAAACAAAAATGTTTTTGCTTAGTTTTTGTTATAAATGTTTACAAATAAATAATATTTCTTCATAAATTTAGGCCAAAATTTGACCGGATACATTTTTGGGTAAAAATAACCCAAAACAGAGCATATTATTTAGTCTGTGAGAAAGTTATAGAGTCTACAAACTATGGGATATATCTGAAAATTGATCAATTGTGACCCTAAGGTACCAGATGCTGCTATGGCAGTGATCAGGTTGTTGGTAAGAGGTATGGTGGTGATCAGGATGCTGGTATAGGGTATGGCAGAGATCAGGACATTAGTATGAGGTATGGTGATGATCAGGACGCTGGTATAGCGGCAATCAGGACACTGGTATGGGGTATAGTGGTGATCAGGATGATGGTATAGGGTATGGCAGAGATCAGGATGATGGTATAGGGTATGGCAGAGATCAGGACATTAGTATGAGGTATGGCGGTGATCAAGATGCTGGTATGGGGTATAGCTGCAATCAGGACGCTGGTATGGGGTATGGAGGTGATCAGGATGATGTATGGGGTATGGCGGTGATCAGGATGATGGTATGGGGTATGGTCATGATCAGGATGATGGTATGAGGTATGGCGGTGATCAGGACGCTGGTATGGGGTATGGTGGTGATCAGGACGCTGGTATGGGGTATGGCGGTGATCAGGACGCTGGAATGGGGAATAGCAGTGATCAGGATGCTGGTATGGGGTATGGTGGTGATCAGGATGCTGGTATGGCAGTAATCAGGACGCTGGTATGGGGTATGGCAGTAGTCAAGATGTTGGTATGACTTTGATCAGAACGCTGGTATGGGGTATGGTGGTGATCAGGATGATGGTATGGGGTATGGACGTGATCAGGATGATGGTATGAGGTATGGCGGTAATCAGGATGCTGGTATGGGGTATGGTGGTGATCAGGATGCTGGTATGGGGTATGGCAGTGATCAAGATGCTGGTATGGCAGTAATCAGGATGCTGGTATGACGGTGATCAGAACACTGGTATGGGGTATGGCAGCGATCAGGATGCTGATATAGCATATGGGATGATCGGATGTTGGTACGGGGTATGGCAGTGATCAGGGTACGGGTATGGTGTATGACGGTGATCAGGGTGCTTGCATGGTGTATGGTGGTGATCAGGCTGCTGGTATGGTGTATGGTGGAGATCATGGCGTTGGTATGGCGGTGGTCATGGTGCTGGTATGGGGTATGGGGCAGGTGACAGGTGCTGGATGCATTTTTTATTAGGACTACACTAGGACTACACTAGGACAGTGATCAGGGACACTAGGACTGGCTAGTACTGCAGTCTGTGAGTGTACAAGCAGCCCAACAGTCTGCTGTACACTGATAGGCTGCAGCATCGGTTCTCTCTGCTTTCACAGTGAGAGCACAGAGAACCAATACTTATGGTACTTTCAGTTTCTATTGTTTGGTTCTATGTGATTGCTGTAGTTGGACCATGTGATTAAACATACTCAGTGGTAATGTGATCTGCTGTATGTGAGTGACACTAGGATCGCGCTCTGTGAGCTACCCAGGAGCCTCTGATGCGGGCTGACGTACATTCGGCAATGCTTCCCGTCCACTGTTCATAGGCAATGGGTGGACAGGAAGCGGTTAAAGACAAAACTTTATTTTTGTTTAGTTTTGGATATAGTATAGAGAGATTAGAACCCCTGTCAGATTTTTATTGCGGTCTGTGTCCCTGTTAAAGAGACTGTCTATTGTCTATTTGTCATGTTTATCGCTATCCCCAAAAATTAAATTAAAGGAAAAATCGGTTGTCCTCAGAACAGTAATAAAGGGAAAATCTTCCAATGGGGACACTAGTTCTGGGGATTCCCTCACTTTGGAGAGATTTCCCTTCACTCCCTGGTTTGGCTATGGAACAGGAAGTAAAGGTTATAATCCTCCCTTACTCGATCCAAAATGATAAAAAGTTTGCCTTTAGTTCTACTTTAAAGATTTAATATACATTTTGGGGAGTGTGTCTATGCCATTTCTACAAAAAAAGATGCCAGCAGAAAAATCTCAATTAACCCAATTTAAATGATGTTTTTTTTTGTACTAAATGTCACTTTTGCTGCAGTACATCTTAAAGCAAATACAGACAAAAGACAGGCAAGGGCCCCCAAAATCCACAGTCAGACCCTTCAGATCTGGTATAGATTTTAAGGCGAAAAAATTAAAATAAAACACTGTTTGCGCCCCCCAAAATCCATAACCAGACCCTTAATCTGAGCGCATTGTACTCCCCACCTCCTGAACCTATTCCGGGTCATGTGCCCACATATCCTCAACATGGGGGGGACCCACCTGGCAAAGCACCGTGCCCTATGAAAGCCTTTCACTGGGCATATTGCTGTGTTGCTAGAAAAACGGCATGTTTTGCTTTGTGTGAAAAAAAAAATCTCAGATGTCAGAACTCCGGATAATAACCTCGAGCTACACTTGGCTCTCATGAGACGAACATTTAACCTTCTGACCGTTTAACATTTAAACAGCTTATCTCTTGCACAAAGCTAGTCCATTGGACCTGAGCACCAGAGGTCTGCATTGCAGAATAAGATGTTACTTTAGGGCGATGGAGAGTAGAGGAATATTATTCATGGAGATTCAGGTACCTAGAGTATAGGCAATAATTACAATACTAGTAATACCATATCCAAGATATGGATCTCCAGGCAAATAGCTAAATACATAGAAGGGAGTTGGGTTACCTACCAAAGGATTTGTATTTCTGTCCACCCAGTCCTGCCATTTACATAGCTCTGTCTAACTGCACAACCCTATCTGGCAAGGCAGGAGACCTGATTTTTTTTTTTGCTGCAGTTCAGTAACACTTACAGGTCTTGTCCCTCCTCCAGCCTGTGATTGGACAGTCAAAGAAGAAGCAGCAGACTGACAATATCATCTTTCTGCCCCTTTTCCTCTCCTCCTATCAGAATGCCCCTTATCAGAACCCTGAGCAATGGATCCTTGTGCTGTCTCCCTCTCCCAGTCTGAGTGCTGTACAGAGACTGCAAGACATAGATACCAAATGAGATTCAGGTACTTACACTGCTGGCCTTAAAAAAAACACACAGCTGTATTATTTTGTGCAAAATCTACCTGTGCAGTGGAGTCATCCTGCACTGCAATGGTGAAATGCTCATTAGGTCTAAGGGTTGGAGGAAGGGTCTCCAAACTGGGGCCCACAGGCCACATCTATAGCCAATGGTGTGCACTGATTGAGCATTCAGACCAGCAGAGGATTGTGTCTGGTCCTGATGCAGGGTGTGCTCTGATGGGGACTCTCATGCAAGGGGGGAGAACTGATGGGGACCCTGAAGTAAGAGATGGACTCTTATAGAGATCTTGATGTAAGGGGATCTATGATGAGGACTCTGGTGTAAGGGGGGCTCTGATGGGGACCCTGATGTAAGGGAGACTACGATAGGGAAAAAAAAAAAAAATGGCCACTGCCCCAGTCTATAACTGGCCTTCACAGCAAGGAGCACATACAAGGGCGACGCATGTCAAACAACAAAAAATAAAGGTTAATTTGGTTTGTTTGCAGGCTGGCAAGTTAGAGCTGGGAAATGTTCTTTTTTGTTCTTTGACATGCGTCGCCCTTCCATGTGCTCCTTGCTGTGAAGGCCAGTGTTTTAGACTGGGGAAGTGGCCATTTTTTGTACTGTTGAATTGTTGGTGAGGGGGGCGCACTGGACACCTTAGCTGCCATTGTGCTACATGCTGGGTGTCCGGTGCGCTCCCATGCCTTTAAGGAGGGGTGGGCTCCTTCAGGTCCGCCTGCCCTTAGGCTATCCATTAAATACATGTGCCTCTACTATGGGGGCTCTTAAAATTTGTAGAGTTAGAACCACAGAATATCGGGGTGCCGTGACAAGGCTCTGTAGCTTACACATGTATTTTCAAATGTGTGCTAACTAAACCCCTGTCCTGTACTGTTAGACAGGACAATTCGGTTTGTTTGCAGGCTGGTTGGAAAAAATTAGAGCTGGGAATGTTTCTTTTTTTGTTGCAGGCTGGTTGGAAAATTAGAGCTGGGAATGTTTCTTTTTTTGTTGTTGGACTACAATAGGAACCCTGATGTAACGGAGGGACTCTTATAGGGACCTTGCTGTAAGAGGGATCATTTATGGGATCCTAATGTAAAGGGGGATTCTGATGTGAAGGGTACTCCAGTGGGGACCCTGATGTGAGGAAGACTGTGATGAGGACCCTAGTGTAAGGGGGACGCTGATGGGAACCCTGAAGTAAGGGAGGGATGCTTAAAGGGACTATGATGTAAGGGGGACATGGATGTAACTGGGATCTCTGATGTAAGGGGGACTCTGATGGGGTTCCTGATGTGAGGACTGTGATGTAAGGGGGACTCTGATGAAAGGGGCACTTTGATGGGATGTTGATGTGGGGAAGACTGTGATGAGGACCTTAGTGTAAGGGGGAAGCTGATGGGAACTCTGAAGTAAGGGAGGGATGCATAAAGGGATTTTGATGTAAGGGGGACATGGATGTAACTGGGATCTCTGATGGGGACCCTGATGTAAGGGGGAATCTGATGGGGTTCCTGATGTGAGGACTGTGATGTAAGGGGGACTCTGATGGGGACCCTGATGTGAGGACTGTGATGTAAGGGGGACTCTGATGGGGACCCTGATGTAAGGAGCACTTTGATGGGATGTTGATGTGAGGAAGACTGTGATGAGGACCCTGGTGTAAGGGAGACACTGATGGGGATCCTAAAGTAAGGAAGGGACTCTTATAGGGACCTTGATATAAGCCGGACTTGGATGTAAGTGGGATCTCTCATGGAGATTCTGATGTAAGGGTTCTCTGAAGGGGACCCAGATTTAAACGGGGACTGTGATGGGGACTTGATGTAAAGGGGACTTATTCATTTATAAAAGAGGATTTTTTTTTTTCAGCCTGCAAATATTTATAAAATATATGATGTGGCCCCTCAACCGAACAATTTGGAGACCCCTGGAGCTCTGGCAAGCTCCAGTGCTGTGCACTTTTATTAACCTTGCATTGTATGTGAAGGAGGCAGGCATGCGACCACAAGTATGAGGAAAGAACAAACAGAGGGCGTGCAGGCCTAGTGCATTACCATACAAAATGTTTAATAGGAAATAAAGTAGGTGTTGTACTCACAAACGACAATAAAGTCAAGGCACATCATAAAAGAACAGCTTAGTCAGCACCGTGCTGAGTAACAGTCCACAATGGGGAGTGTAGACATCCAATATACTGACGCGTTTCGAGGACTTGCCTCTCCCTCAGAGACCACAAGCAGGAGCACCTTAGATAGAAGGCTTCATGGTTCCTGTTGCACAGCTGAAGGGACCCTGCTGGAGCAAAGAATGAGGTTGTAAGGGACCGCCCGGCGGTACCACTAGCACTCCACTGATCAGGCGTCCCCAGAGCACGGAATCTAAGCACCAGAGTACTTGTTCACCAGGGCCCCTGATGGTGGGGATGGACTTGGAGTACCCTGAGACCAGGTCGTGGCTACTGAATATACCTGTCAGTGGTAGGGGTAGTCGCCAGGGGCTCCCACGGGGAAGAGCCTGATATGAGGAGGTTGGGTGACCCCATTGGGATGGATGGCTGAGCAGATGCGAGGTCAGACAAGCCGGGTCGGTAACGGTGGGGACAGTGCGG